AAGCCTTTCCAATAGCCCAGGGTGCATAGTAAGTCCTCAATAGGCAGCTTGTGGGTTACAATGTATCCTTTTGGTGTAAGATCAGTGGAGTCACAAGTACAGGACCTAGAGTTGGGTAGAACAGGTTCGAGCCCCTCTCTGCCACAGAACTGCCGTGTGACTCAGGCAAAACCTTTAACCTCTCTGGGCCTTGTTTCAATTTCTCATCTCTGAAAAGGGATGGATGGACCACCGCTGCCTTCTGAGAGTGTGGTGGCAATGGGGTCAATGAGATCATGCAAGGAGAACAACTGTTAGTAGCCGTGATATTTATTTTATGACTAATGCAGGCAGCAGTAGTACACTCTGAAGCTAATGATAATACTATTAGTAATGCAATTTACTCCTCCTATCTATAAGGAGCTGGTGGTACAGTCGAGGCCCTGGTGGCTCGGTGGGTTAAGCATTGGGCTGCTAACCTAGAAGCTAGAGAGATTCGAACCCACCAATCCCTTCGTGGGAGAATAAAAAGGAAGTTTTCTGCTCCCGTAAAGCTTTACAGCCTCAGAAACCCACAAGGGCAGCTCGGCGCTGACCTAGAGGGTGGCTCTGAGTCAGCGTGGACTCGATGGCAGTCAGTTTAGTTTGGCTGTTGGTTTGGGTAGTGCAGTACAGTGCTTTGCTGCCAGCTGAAAGGTTGGTAGTTCAACTCCCCCCGCTGCTCCTCGGAAGACAGATGAGGCTTTCGACACCTCAGACACCTTGTGGGGCAGTTCTACTCTGTCCTATAGACTCACTCCGTGAGTCAGAATCCCCTCAATGGTAGCAAGTTAGCTTGCTCTGGGCTTGGACTGACGTGGCATCTAATAACAAGTCAGACTAGTTCCTAGACCTCCTTGCTAGTCATAGGGGTAGTGTTGCTAGATGCCATCGAGTGACTTCCGACTCCTGGTGGCCCGGCATACAGCAGAAGGGAACACCCCCGGCCCTGCAGCACCCTCGCAGTCACTGCTGTGTGTGAGCCGATGGTGGCCGCTGCGGTGTCCATCCATCACCTCGAGGGTCTTCTTTTTCACCGGCCTGCTACTTAGCAAGCATGACGTCCCTCTCCAGGGCCTGGACCCTCCTGAGAACATGTCCAGCCGGTGAGACCCAAGTCTCACCATACAGGAGCATTCTGCCCGTACTTCTTCCAAGACAGGTTTATATATTCTTCCGGCAGTCCGTGGTCTCTTTGGTACTCTGACACCGGCCTTCAGAGGCATCTGTGCACCTTCAGCGTCCTTCATCACTGATCAGTGTCCACACACTTAGGAGGCAGCTGGAAACACTGTGGCTTGGGGCCAGGCCCACCTCAGTCCCAGTAATATTATTAGTCATCAATATATTCTTCCTGCTTTGGATGCATCTCTGGGAGGGGGACAGGAGAGACCAGGAGAGACAGCCGAGTGCCAGGTTCCCAGGCCCAGCAGAGTTTTCCTTAGAATCTTGAAAAAACCAAGTCTTGTCACAACCAAGTTCAGCTTCTAGCTGTGTGGCTTTGGCTAACTGACTTGCCCTCTCTGAGACGCCATCTTCCTTTCCAGAGTACAGCAACAACAGCCATGGCCAGCTCACACGGTTGTGGGAAGCATTTAATAAGATCATTTGCCGGATGCGTGGGAAGTGCTGTAGTTTTATATTCTTGGCTCAGAAAAGTGTAGCCCAGAGAGGGTAGGGAACTGCTCTGTGGTCACAAAGCCAAGTAGGCCTTGCATGCTGACCCTAGAAGTTGAAGGAGGGAGTCTTGGCAGGGGGGTGGGGTTGACCTTTGATGGGCCTCTTATTCCTGTAGGTCCCCCCAAGGCCCCTGTGGAGCCGGAGCCGGAGCCGGAGCTGGAGGGGCTGCTGGCCCCCGTGCTGGAGGCCGGCGATGCCGAGGAAGGTGCCCTGACTCGGCCCCTCAGCCCCACGCGTTTGCAGCCAGCACTGCCGCCAGAGGCGCAGTCGGTGCCCGAGCTGGAGGAGGTGGCCCGGGTGCTGGCAGAGATCCCACGACCCCTCAAGCGCAGGGGGTCCATGGAACAGAGCCCCGCCGTGGCCCTGCCCCCCACCCACAAGAAGCAGTACCAGCAGATCATCAGCCGGCTCTTCCATCGGCACGGGCCGGGGCCAGGGGGCCCAGAGCCTGAGCTGTCGGCCATCACCGAGGGATCCGAGGCCAGGCCAGGGCCCCCGGCCCCCGCGCCCCCAACTCCTATCCCACCCCCGGCCCCGGTCCCAAGCAACCCACCAGAGCAGCCCCAGAACCTGGTAAGTCCTCTGGGAAGACGCTGTCGCATAGTGGTTCGTGTACAGATCCAACTGCCGTCACAGGTCCCCACAATGAGATGGAAGGTTTCTGATGGCGCACATAGTTGGCACCCCCCTACCAACCTAAAAGTTGGAACCCATCCGGTAGTGGCCCAGAAGGAAGCCCAGGGGATCTGTTCTCTTAAAGACCACAGCCAAGGAAAACCCAAAGGACCGCTTATCTTCTACTCTGACACACGGGGTCACCAGGAGTCAAAGTCGACTCACCAGCAAGGGGACTTGCGTGTGTTGTTTAAAGAGACAGAAATGTATTTCAGTTTCAAGGAGGTAGCAGTTAGTTAGCTAACCGTTGGTGCAGGATTTAGCAGTCTGGGGCTAGTCGATGGAATTGGGGCTCAAGCTCTGTCTATTTAAGGTTCTGCCATTCCTGGGGGAAGGGAGGTGGTGGGGGGGAGTGCTACCTTGCCCTCCTGGCCCATGAAGGCTGCCCCCCAAGTCTGCATTCCAGCCAGGTAGAAGGAAGGAAGAGGAGGACGTCGTCCTGTTTTCAGACAGAAGGTGGAAACTGCATGCATCACTTCAGCCCCCCGAGCCACTGGCCAGGAGTGTAGCTGCAAGGGAAGCTGGCTTTCCTGTCTTTAATCTTTGTGTGTCTGCGTTCAGGTGGGCACGGAAAGGGCATCCACCTGGAGACCTGCTCTGTTCCTTGTCTCCACTAACCTGCCCCCCTTCAGGAAACTCAGTCTCGCAACCTGAGTCATGACTAAATCTTGGATTTCTTCTGGAACATGCTAGAATGGTGGCAGTCACCGTCTTTTTCTTTGAGGGGGAGGGGGGATTTCCTTGTCTCCCTCTCTGTAGATCTGCTCTCTCCTCTGTCTCTCCTTTGATTATCCATCTCCCTCTTTCCTCACCCCTCAGGAAGCCTATGGCTAAAAACGACCCACTTGGTCTAGACCCAGAAGAACCTCTCAGTTCAGACCTGAACCATCCTCTGACTCCAGTCTGAGTCTTTTCTGTCTAAGGTGCCCAAGGGCCAGACTCTGGTCCCTGCGGCCGTCGTGTCATGGGGAAATACGGCAGCTGCAAATGGGCCCGCCTGGATGCCACACCCCCTATTGCAGTGGTTCTCAACCTTCCTAATGCTGCGACCCTTTCATACAGTTCCTCATCTCGTGGTGATCCCCAACCATCACATTACTTTCGCTGTTGGCATTGTGGTACGTGCTGAGCTGCTAGCCAGCCGGTCTGCGGGAGAAAGACCGGGCTGCCTACACCCATCAAGAGTGACCGTCTCGGAAACCCACAGGGGCAGTTCTACCCAGCCCTATAGGGTTCTCTGTGAATCGGAAGTGACTCGGCGGCAGTGAAGTTGGTTGAGTTTTTCACTTTCAAGGAAGCTTCCGCAAACAGCCTGCAGAACACTGGGGAAATAAAACACAAAAATCCAACTCACTGCCCTCGAGCGAGGGTAGTACTGCCCCTGGGAGTTTCTGAGACTAACCCTTTACAGGCCAACCCAACGCGTCACCGTTCTGCCCCCCTCCAGGACTCCCGTGAGGGAAATAGAGCGAAGTGGACGCAGTCACTCAGAGAGAAGCTCGGTTCAAGTTTGGGATATTTCCGTTCCTTCTCTTGGAGTAAAGTTTTACTAGCACGACACAAATCTTCCCAGCCGGAGGATCTCAGGACTCCGGCTCTGGATCGTATACAATTTGAAGTGGAACTAGATGGCGTAGCTGCACAGCATGCTGGGAACTCCGATGGCTGAGTTCCGAATCATAAACCTGCTTAGAAGAAATGGATCCGGGCGGGGGAGAACGGGTCGTTACACAGTTTCTGAAAAGGCAGGGAATAATAGGCTAAAAGTACCCATCTTCCACTCATCTGGAGTGGACAGCTCGTGAGGTTGTCAGGAGCCTTGGTGGCCCAGTGGTGATGCTCTTGGCTGCTAACGAAGAAGTTGGCGAGGTCAGAGTCCAGCCCACCAGCAGCCCCGCGGGAGAGAAGACCTGGCACCGGGCTTCTGGAAGGGGGCAGCCTGGGGACCGCCTGGCAGCCATCCTCCGTCCTTCAGGGCTGCTAAATGGGCTTCCGAGTATTTATTTCTCAACAAAGGATTTGAGATTGACACCGGCTTTCCACCATCACCACCTGGAAGGCAGAGAATTACTTCCCTGTCGACTGATTCCCCGGGCTGCCTACCTCCTCTCTGGGAAACGCAAGATTCGGGTCACCCGATTCCTTTAGAGGCTGTAAGACGGTGGTTCTCAACCCCTAATGCTGCCACCCTTTCAGACAGTTCCCCGTGGTGGGGACCCCCCAACCATCAAACGATTTTCGTTGCTACTTCATCACTGTCATTTTGCTACTGTGATGAATCGGGCAACCCCTGTGACAGGGTCGTTCGACCCCCAAAGGGGTTGTGACCCACAGGTTGAGAACCACTGCAAGAGACCCCAGTCTACCCTGCCTCCCATAAGCTCACTCCATCTCTCTGTCTCCTCCCCTCTCTGTCTCTGTCTGTCTGTCTCTAGACATCCCTGGGTGATTGGAATCCCAGCCCTGCCCACCCTTGTCTAGCCAGTCCCCGGGGCGCCTGGAGGTTAGGGGTAGACTAACCAGCCCCCTCAAGTCTCTGACCCCGGTCCCCACTCTCATCCCCAGGAGGTGCGCTCGCTGCTGCGGAAGGCGGGCTCCCCTCGCAAGGCCCGCCGCGCACGCCTCAACCCGCTGGTGCTGCTGTTGGACGCAGCGCTGACCGGGGAGCTGGACGTGGTGCAGCAGGCGGTGAAGGAGGTGCGTGGGGCCGGTGGCCGGCGCGTGGGGGTGACCACTGGGGGGGTCCACAGCAAGACTAAGCCCCTCCCCCCCTTCCCCGTCCGCCTGTCCCTTGCAGATGAACGATCCAAGCCAGCCCAACGAGGAGGGCATCACGGCCCTGCACAATGCCATCTGCGGCGCCAACTACGCCATTGTGGACTTCCTCATCGCCACGGGTGCCAACGTCAACTCCCCGGACAGCCACGGCTGG